TTCCGCCATCTGCAATCCGACCCCACCACCAAAGACATTTTTCCCTCTCCACCCTTATCTGCTTTCCGGAGGGACCACTCTCTCCGTGACTCCCTTGTCCGCTCCACACTCCCCTCCAGCCCCACCACACCCGGCACTTTTCCCTGCAACCGCAAAAAGTGCTACACCTGTCCCTACACCTCCCGTCTTCACCCCCGCCCCCATCCCAAACCAAGAAGACTTTCCACATCAAGCAGATGTTCACCTGCACATCTGCTAATGTGGTATACTGTATCCGCTGTTCCCGTTGTGGCCTCTTCTACATCGGGGAAACCAAGCGGAGGCTTGGGGACCGCTTTGCAGAACACCTTCATTCGGTTCGCACTAAACAACTGCACCTCCCAGTCGCGAACCATTTCAACTCCCCCTCCCATTCCTCAGATGACATGTCCATCCTGGGCATCCTGCAGTCCCACAACGACGCTACCCGAAGGTTGCAGGAACAGCAACCCATATTCCACTTGGGAACCCTGCAGCCCAATGGTATCAATGTGGACTTCACAAGCTTCAAATCTCCCCTCCCCCTACCGCATCCCAAAACCAGTCCCCGCCTCCCTAACCTGTCCTTCCTCCCACCTTAAGCCCAACCCCCATCTACCTACTAACCTCGTCCCACCCCCTTGACGTGTCCGTCCTCCCTGGACTGACCTATCTCCTCCCTACCTCCCCACCTACACTCACCTCTACTGGCTCCATCCCCGCCTCTTTGACCTGTCTGTCTCCTCTCCACCTATCTTCTCCTCTATCCATCTTCTATCCGCCTCCCCCTCTCTCCCTATTTATTTCAGAACCCCCTTCCCCTCCCCCATTTCTGATGAAGGGTCTAGGCCCGAAACGTCAGCCTTCCTGCTCCTGTGATGCTGCTTGGCCTGCTGTGTTCATCCAGCTCTACACCTTGTTATCTCAGATTCTCCAGCATCTGCAGTTCGTGCTATCGCTAAAACAGAACACATCTTGATTTAAAAAATGATGACTACAGAAAATGTAATGATATGGTTGTACACAAATATCTGATTTTATATCTGGCATCAAGAAAACTAACTGCTGTTTGTAATGTGAAATGAGAGGTTTTTACTAACTGTAATTAACTTCTGTGTATGAATACAACAGTATACAAGACAACCAGATACTGAGTAGCACTCAAAATATTCTGGGAAGGTGCATGAATTCTCCTGAAAGTTCAGAAGTTGCCCCAAAATGTGATTATGGAGCAGTCAAACAGAGAAAAGTCACTCCTTATGCAGATGGACTGATTTGTGGGAGGAGCTTCTCAAATTGGGGATACAGCAGACTCCAGCTAAGGGCTGTGTGTGGAGGTAGGGTCCCAGTATTTTGAAGAAGGGAGACGGAGGATAGGCCTGAATATTGGGGTGGTGGTGGAAGAAGAAATACGGAAAAAGGACCCCAAATAGTGGAGAAGGAAGCAGGCCCAAATATCAGAAGTTGGGGCAAGGCCTAACTGTCCCTTTCTAAAGGGTAAAGGGGCTGCATATGGATCTTTTATCAAGAGAACCAACTGTAAAGTTTTCAAAAATAGGAGAGACCTTCAGCATGCCATTGATATTCATCCAGGTATAAAGAACAAAATCTTCTTTACCTCTTGTATTTTTAAGAATGCTGACCTCAAATTTAATATTGGTGAAGTACCCAAATTGTCAACATAAGATGGCTATAGAATGCCCTTGATGGTCACATTGTAAAATCATACATGTTGGTACTACACAGGTAGCTGAAACTAAAAGCACACCAAATGTTTCAAAGCCACTCGTTATTGAACCTTCAAGGAAACTGACAGAACAAATCCTCAATAACATCAAGTAGTTCAAGAAAAATATTGCTGCTAACTGAGGGATGTTCTGATTATTGATGGTGTTTCGCAAAAGATCAATTGACTGTCCTGGAATAAAAAGTGGATATTGGCATGATGTGGCAAGAGGGGTTCATCACAATGTGTGTGCAATCTGATTTTAAAGACAGTATGGGAGATATATTTATCATAAATATATAAATGATTCATTAATTTCAATTTAAAAGTTAAAAATTATGTATACAATCTTTGGTACTTGTACTATCCTGTAATTCTAAAGAAGGAAACCCTAAAAATATTCCACAGAAATACAGACAGTAAAATTGCAATATAATTGCATCATCTCATAGAGGAGTTGGTGAGAATGAGAAAGGGGCTCTTGAAATTGAAAAGTAGCCCTTGAGAATATTTTGTAGAGCCCTCAAAAAGAAATATTTTGACGATGATACTTGGTGCATAATTTTGCAGTGATCAAATGCAAAATATTGTTGTGTATTTGGAACATTTTGTTTTCACTTATCCATTGTTGATCAAAGGATATGAGAAGTCTGTTCATCCTCCTAAATTAGATTTTCTGTTGCTTCACTCAGCCAACTGTATTTTTTATTAGTTTTTAATACATTTGACAGGACAAATGTGAACTAGTACACTTTTGTCAAATATTATTGCTGAGCAAATGTCAATGGAGCTGGAGGAACACAGGTCAGGCAGCATCAGGAGCAGGAAAGTTGACATTTTGTGTTGGGACCCTTCATCAGGACTAGGGAGAGGGAGGGGAGCTGGGAAATAAATAGAGGGAGGAGAGGTGGGGCTGGGGCAAGTTAGGTGAGATGGTGATAGGTGGATGTAGGTAGAGGGTAGTGGGGATTGGTCAGTGGGAATGGTGGGGTGGATAGGTGGCCAACAAGATGGACAAGTTCTGTCAAATCAGGGAGGGTTGGACATGGGATGAGGACAGGGGTGAGATTTTGAAACTGGTGGATTCAATGTTCAGACCATCGGGCTGTAGGCTCCCAAGGCAGAATATGAGGTGTTGCTCCTCCAGTTTGCATGTGGCGTCATTGTGGCACTGGAAGAGACCCAGGATGGATACATCACCAAGGGAGTGGGAGGGGGAGTTAAAATGTTGGCAACTGGAAGGTGTTGTTGATTGGAGCATCTGCGCTCCATATGCTACGCGAATTGGTCACCAATGTAGAGGAGGCCATACCGGGAGCAACACATACAGTAGACCAGTTTGGAGGACGTACAGGTGAACCCCTCTCAGTTTTGGAAAGTTTTTTCTTGGGCCTTGGAGGTGTGGGGACAGGTGCAGCACCTGCAGTTGCAGGGAAAGGTGCTGGCTGTGGTGGAGTTGGTGGTGCTATCTTCAATAATTGCTGAGCATTTTGGAAATACTTTTCTCACTTATTATGTTTCTTTACTTCTTGGATTCTCTACATGAGACAGATCCGACATGCCTCATCAGTGAAGGGGATTAGTAAAGAGATCCCAAATCCACCTCAGCTGGAATAGGGACTGAAATCCATGCCATTGGAAGCAATGACCAGTCTAATTTCTTTTTTGTATGTGGATCAAGGAGGTCCATGCGCAGTTGTGATATCTGAAACCAGAAGTCAATGCATCAGCATGCTAATCAGTGTACACTGATGCTGTGAGCTGCTCAGCTGAGAGGGAGTGCTGGTCAGTCGTGATCCGATTGCCTCTGGCTGTCCAGCCCATTGCCTCTTGTGTCAGAATTACTATTGCTTTGATATGCATGTTGGTCTGGAGTTCTGAAGTGATGGTGGAGACAAACATTTTCTTTCCATCATACTGCTGATGAAAAATCAGTCCCACTCTTAGTACCTGCCATGGCGTATTTTGTAAGGTTGCAAGGCGAGGTGGTAACCTAGTGGTATCATCGTGAGATTATTAATCTAGTGTCCCATATAATGTTCTGGGGACCCAGGTTCAAATGCTACCATGGTAGCTGGTGGAATTTGAATTCAATAAAAATCTGGAATTAAGAGTCTTGACGATGACTGTGAAACTATTGCCAATTGTCTGGAAAAACACACCCAGTTCACTAATGTCCTTTTAGGGAAGGAGACTGCTGTCCTTACTCTGTTTGGCTGACATATGACTCCAGACCCAGAGCAATGTGAGTCTTAACTGTCTTCT